TGGTTGTTGACCAGTTGATATTACAGACATCAGAACTCCAAAACTGTATATATCTGATGCCATTGTATATGGTTTCTTTGTCAAAACTTCTGGTGCAATATATGGTAATACTCCACATATATCATTTTTGTTTGATGATGATGTTTGACTAGCTGGGCATGATAATCCTAAATCTGCAATGTATGACCACATATTTTCTTTAGATTGAAGAATATTACCACTATGAAGGTCATGATGAATAATTTCTTTTTCATGAATATCTTTTAAACCTTCAATAATTTGTTTAAGAATATAAATTTTATTTTCCCATTTTAAATTTTTAAAATCTTTAGTTAAATAATTTCGAAGATTTCCATCTTTTATATATTTCATTACAAATATATATTCTTTTGTAATTGTATCTTGTGTTAATCCATAAATACGAATTATATCTTCTTTATCATGAAACTTTGTATAATTTTTGAACTAAAACAACAAATAAATTATTTAATTACAATAATAATAATCAATAATACTTGAAAAATCTGAAAATAAATAAGAAAAATAAAATAATTTACCTCATTAAGAAGTTCATCAGAAATATTCCGTGAATTATGTAGTTTTTTTAATGCCACAATCTTATCTTTACTGGTTCTTTTATTTTCATCAGTACCTTTCTCACCATTTAGCCAAGTAGCTTTGTATATAGTTGAAAACCCACCTTCACCTATTTTTTCAATATTTGTTAAATCATCATAAGGAATCCATTGAAGATGCTTACTATTATCATACTCAGTTGCTTTAAGTTGTGTACTTTTAATCAACTCATCTAATGTTTCATTGCCACTAGTCCATCCTTCAGTTAATAGCTTTGGATCACATGATTGACACCATGCCCAATGGGTATTATATCTATTGCAGGTTGGACATTCCCCACACACTTCATATCTTCTGTATGAATCTTCTTCATTTTTGCCAGTAAAAGTATCATCATGATGTTTATTTTCATCTAAAGTGTTTTCCATTTTTAAAAATTATTTGTAGTGTATAATTTTTTTTCTAAAAGCCACAACTATATATCATACAAAATAAAATAAAAATTTTTATGACTTGTGTGCCTGAATTAGCATTATATAAATAATCCGGCATGACACCCTAATACTAAATAGAAACCGTAAAAACCGTAATGCCGTAATTATTTACAGTCTATTAGTCGTGTAACATGACACCTAAATATAATAATAAAGAGACTGTAAAACTGTAATGTCGTAATTATATAATATTGCAAGGGTGTGATCTGAGTTATCGGAGTCACCAAATAAAAATCACTATATACAACTATATGCTTGATTAGAGTTCTATTCGAATCATTTGTTTTGCTCGTTATGAATTTGTGTATTCGAATTACATTGAAAGTTTATTCGAATAAAATGAATAATGAATAATTCGATAATTTAAATAAAATGAAATAATTCAAATAAACGAAATAATTCGGATAGTTCGAATAAAAACAAATAAATGAATAATTCGAGTAAAACCAATAATTCGAATATTTCAAACAAAAGTCGAATAAACAAAATAATTTAAATAGTTCGAGTAAAACGAATAATTCAAACAAAACGAATAGTTCAAATAACGAATAAACGAATAAACGAGATAAAATGAATAATTTGAATAGTGAAATAAAACGAATAGTTCGAATAGTTCGAATAAAACGAATAAAACGAATAAACAAAATAATTCGAATAAAACAAATAAATGAATAATTCGAGTAAAAATGAATAAATGAATAATTTGAGTAAAACGAACAATTTGAATATTTCGAATAAACGAATAATTTGAATAGTTCGAATAAAACGAATAAAAGAATATTAATATATATATATAAAAAAAAAAATTTTTTAAAAAATGCAATGCATAAAACGCGCATCATGCGCATCATGCAATTAATTTCCCATCCCTTAATAACGGCCTTTTTTTTGCCAAAACAGAAGGACCGTACTGTATAATATTGGCCCCCAGTATTACGTATTGCAGAACAATACACAACTTCTGGCAATTCTTTGTAATTTCAAAGCTGTTAGAAATCTGTTGATCTCCACCACAAAGAATTTTATTCACCAAACTGAACCATTTGAAACCTTAATCTCTAAATTATTTTGCAACAAAAAATTCCCAATGAAAAAATGAATGAAGGTATTTTTTTTCTTACACAAAAAAAATATATAGTAATATATAGTAAAAGGATTTTACATCATAATTTTAATATTTTGCTTTATAATAAAGCAATGTTTAACTAAATTTAATAAATATTTTAAAAACAAACTTTATCAAAACATCTTCTAATTAAATAATTTTATTTTTTATTCATAGAGCGTAAGTATTATATTATAGATTAACTTTTACAACACAAAATAAACTTTATTAACATCATCTAATTAAATTTTTATTTCATAGAAAGTAAGTATTATATTATAAATTAATTTTTGTAAAATAAATTTTATTAAAACATCATCAATTATTTTTTTATTTCTTAGATCGTAAGTATTATATTATAAATTAACTTCCACAACACAAAGTGAACTTTATTAAAACATCATCTAATTAAATATTTTTATTTTTTATTTCATAGTTTGTAAGTATTATATTATAAATTAACTTACAACACAATAAATTTTACATCATCTAATTAAATAATTTTTATTTTTATTTCATTATAATAACTAGGGAGTAAGTATTATATTATAAATTAACTTCTACAACACAAAATAAACTCTATTAAGACATCATCTAATTAAATAATTTTATTTTTTATTTCATAGAGCGTAAGTATTTTATTATAAATTAACTTTTACAACACAAAAGCTTTATTATATTAAAACATCATCTAATTAAATAAATTTATTTTTTATTTCATAGTTGGTAAGTATTATATTATAAATTAACTTTTACAACACAAAATAAACTTTATTAAATATCATCTAATTAAATATTTTTACTTTCATTTCATAGATTGTAAGTATTATATTATAAATTAACTCTTATGACACAGAATAAACTTTATTAAAACATCATCTAATTAAATAAATTTATTTTTTATTTCATAGCTTGTAAGTATTATATTATAAATTAACTTTTACAACACAAAATAAGCTTTATTAAATATCATCTAATTAATTTTTTATTTCTTTATAATAACCAGGGAGTAAGTATTATATTATAAATTAACTTTTACAACACAAAATGAACTTTATCATAACATCATTTAATTAAATAAAAAATGTTTTTTTCTTTATAATAACCAGGGAGTAAGTATTATACTATAAATTAACTTTCAAACACAAAATGAACTTTATTAAAACATTATTTAATTAAATAATTTTTATTTTTTGTTTCATAGAAAGTAAGTATTATATTGTAAATTAACTTTTACAACACCTAATAAATTTTATTAAAACATCATCTGATTAAATAATTTTTTTTTTTTATTTTTCGTTATAATAACCAGGGAGTAAGTATTATATTATAAATTAACTTTTACAACACAAAATAAACTTTATCATGACATCATCTAATTAAATAATTTTATTTTTTATTTCATAGTTTGTAAGTATTATATTATAAATTAATTTACAACAAAAAATAAACTTATTAAAACATCATCTAATTAAATATAATTTTTTTTTTCGTTATAATAACCAGGGAGTAAGTATTATATTATAAATTAACTTTTACAACACAAAATAAACTTTATTAAAACGTCATCTAATTAAATAATTTTATTTTTTATTTCTTAGATTGTAAGTATTATATTATAAATTAACTCTTAAAAACATCATTTAATTAAATATTTTTATTTTTATTTCATAGATTGTAAGTATTATATTATAAATTAACTCTTACAACACAAAAATAAACTTTATCATAACTAAATAATTTTATTTTTTGTTTCTTTATAATAACCAGGGAGTAAGTATTATATTATAAATTAACTTTTACATCACAAAATAAACTTTATTAAGACATCATCTAATTAAATAATTTTATTTTTTATTTCTTTATAATAACCAGATGGTAAGTATTATATTATAAATTAACTCTTACAACACAGAATAAACTTTATCAAAAACATCATTTAATTAATATTTTTATTTTTATTTCTTTATAATAACAAGGGGGTAAGTATTATATTATAAATTAACTGTTATGATACAATAAACTTTATTGAGACATCATCTAATTAAATAATTTTATTTTTTATTTCTTTATAATAACCAGATGGTGGGTATTATATTATAAATTAACTCTTGCAACACAAAATAAACTTTATTAAAATGTCATCTAATTAAATAATTTTATTTTTTAATAACCAGATGGTAAGTATTATATTATAAATTAATTTTTACAAGACCTAATAATAATAATAATAATAATAATAATAATAATAATAATAATGAATCTAAATTAAAGAACCACAGAAAACTCCTTCGCCACCATCTGATCCAATTAGTCAAGATAATGAAGAAATAAAGGATGTGCCAAACAATGGATTAATCAATGATGATAAATCTAAGGACAATAGTAATACTGATGAATTTAAAATTGAAGAACTACAGGAAATTCCTTCGCCACAATTATCCAAATCATCACCATCTGCGCCAATTAGTGAAGATAACAAAGAAACAATGGATGAACTAAACAATGGAATAACCAATGAAAACAAAGTAATTATTGATAAATCTAAGGATAATAGTAATAATGATGAATTTAAAATTGAAGAACTACAGGAAATTCCTTCGCCACAATTATCCAAATCACCACCATCTGCTCCAATTAGTGAAGATAACAAAGAAATAAATGATGAGTTAAACAATGAAATAATAATCAATGAAAACAATGCAATTATTGATAAATTTAAGGATAATAGTGATAATGATGAATTTAAAATTAAAGAACTACCACAATTATCCGAATCACCACCATCTGCTCCAATTAGTCAAGATAGCAAAGAAACAAAGGATGAGCCAAACTATGGAATAATTAACAAAAACAAAGCAATCGTTGATAAATCTATGGATAATAGTGACAATAATGAATTTAAAATTAAAGAAATACCACAATTATTCAAACCACCACCATCTGCTCCAATTAGTCAAGATAGCAAAGAAACAAAGGATGAGCCAAACAATGGAATAATCAATGAAAACAAAGCAATTGTTGAAAAACCTAAAGATAATTGGTCAAGATGGCTTGATGAGGCAATTCAGAATGATCACATTAATTTTTATGAATATGGTAGTAGGTTTAAAGATTTTGAAAAAATTGGCTCAGGTGGTTTTGCAAAAGTTTATAAAGCAATATTAGACAATAGCAGTACTTGTGCCTTGAAATCCTATAAACATGATATAGCAAATACAAAAGAAATTACTAATGAGGTAAATTATAATATATTTTTGGTTGTGGATTAAAAAAATTTTTCAACTAATAATAATAATTGGCTCAATTAGTTGAAATTGTTACGTAGAGTTAATCACCATCAAAATATTATTCGTTTCTATGGTGTCACTAAGAATGAAAGTATGTTTAAACTATTTGCTATTTTGATTGTCTCCATTAACTAATATTTATATTTATATATAAAGGCAAAGAGAGATATTTATTGGTCCTTGAGTATGCAGATAGTGGAACACTAAGAAGCTACCTAAAAGAAAAGGGTGGATCAACCAGTTGGGATCTAAAACTGAAATTTGCATATGAGATTGCATCAGCTGTTTTGTGTCTACATGAAAACAATATTATCCATCGAGATTTGGTAATTAAATAATAATAAATTTATAATTATTTAAAAAAAAATTATATTTAATAATGTTTATCTTTTTTTGAAAGCATTCAAACAACATCTTGGTTCACCAAAAAACCATAAAATTGGCAGATTTTGGACTTTCCCGTAAAATACTTGAACTTACAGCCACTTCAGCATTCCAATTAAAAGGAGTGCTGCCTTATATTGACCCAGAATGTTTCAAGTATAATAGCAAGCCAAATAAAGAATCAGATGTATACAGTGTGGGTGTTTTATTATGGGAATTGTCTAGTAACGAACCACCTTTTAGTAATCATGATCAACATTATACTTTAATGTATAATATTTCTCAAGGAATTCGTGAGGAACCTATTCCTAATACACCTGATGAATACATTAATTTATACAAAGGTAAAAATCTATATATTTAAAAACTATATATTTATATATGTGTTAAATTTTTGTTAATCATTTACTTGTATCTAGCATGTTGGCAAGGTGATCCAACAAGCAGGCCTGGTATTCAAAAAGTTGAAACAAAGCTAAGTATAATGATTTCAAGCATTGATAAAGGTGATAAAGTTGATAAAGAGGAAAATTATGAGCAACCAAATAATGAAGATAATGATTCTTTCAATCATCCCAGTATTTCAACAGAACCTACGAGCATGGGTTCATTGCAAACAAAATTTGATAAAGAGGAAAATTATGGGCAACCAAATAATGAAGATAATGATTCTTTCAGTCATCCCAGTATTTCAACAGAACCTACGAGTATGAGTTCATTGCAAACAAAATTTGATAATTTTTTAGAGTAAACAGAACCCTGAAAGCTATATGCACAACTTCATTAAAATATATCAAAAATGTAATTGTAAATATATATATCATGAATTATATTCATGCTTTCATTTCTTATTTGTATTTATTTATATAGCCAGTGTTGTCAGCAGACATAGACATGGACATAGACTGTCATGCCCTAGACAAAATATAAATTTTCTTTGTAAATAATTTTATTTAGGGTATTAAAAAAATACAATAAAATAATTTACCTCATTAAGAAATTCATCAGGAACATTTTGTGAACCATGTAATGTTTCTAATGCCACATTCATATCTTTATTTATTCTTTTTCCATAATCATTTAACAAAGTAAGCTTGGTATACAGTTGCAAAAACCACCTTCAACTATCTTTTCAATATTTGTTAAATCATTATAAGGAATCCATTCAAGATAATATTTATTAAAATATATAGTAGTTGCTTAAGTTGTATTTTTAATCAACTCGTCTAATGCTTCATTTCCTCTAGTACATCCCTTCAGTTAATGGTTTTGGGTCACATGATTGACACCATGAATACAGTGTTGTATCTATTGCAAGTTGGACATTTTCCATAATATTTTTTTCTTTTCTTTGAATATTCATCATCGTCATTTTTGCCAATAGAAGTATCATGATGATGCTTATTGGCCACCTTTGTTGAAAAATTCCTTAACCTCTCATTTAAAATGTTTTTCATCTTTAAAAATTATTTTTTATTTTTCTAAAAGAACTTTATTTTTAGGGGTCTGATTCATTTCGTCGACAATCATTTCGTCGACAGTCATTTCGTCACAAAAAAAAACTTCATTAAACAAATTTCTCCTCACACTCTGCTTTCCTCACCTAATTTCTTAACTAACTTCCCACACTCCTCACATCTAACTCGTTCGGTCTCTGGCTCGAGGATGAAATAATTTTCGACGAAATGAACTTTCGATGAAACGAACTTTCGACGAAACGAACTTTCGACGAAATGATTGTCGACGAAATAATTTTCGACAAAGTAAACGCGACCGCAAATAATTATTACAAATGTGTGATCCATTTGGTCCATTAGTGTAACATTTTAAGCATATTTAGTATTTTATTAATGGCAATGGACCAGTCCAAAGTCCACCAGTCAATTTTCCAACCCTGATTGATATATTATCAATTATTCCTTCGCTCAAGCAAATAATTGTTCGCAATACAACACTATTTGGAATGTAATTTTTGTTTATTTGTCAATCATATGTAATGATTCTACGTTGAACCAATTTCTTAATAAACGTTTTTGTTATAGAATGTAAATCAATTTCTCGACATATACAAGATTTATTGGTTTAGTTGCCATATTCAGAACACAAAATTGTAAAAAAAAAATATTTCAATTGGAAGGTTTTAATTATAACCCTCTCAACTTTTTTCTTGTAGCAACCATTTTTTATTAAAATACTTTTCAAAGAAAACGTCATATGAAATTAACGGGTAGGAAGATTTTTACTGAATTTATCACAATTATATAACCACTTTTTTATTTGTATTATTAATTGGTAGTGATGATTAATAATAATCTATGCAATTCAAGGTGACATAAAGCAAAATATATATGTTTGTGCTGTAGTCTAATTTGTGTTTTATATTAAATTATGCATGCGTTATACACATGTAAACTCGACAAGTCAGTCATTATCAAGTACTTTAAACAATTGATTGCTTGCATCTGACTTATCGAGTTTACATGTGTAGCTAGTAATTTTAAAGAAATTTTGTCAGATATTTGTTACTTGCTTCACATTTGTATATGTTTAACAACACCAGCAAAACTGTCTATTGATTATATCAATAGATAATACTAAATATTATTTCCAAAAAACCGGGTATTCTTCGTTTGAGAACGAATTGATACTATTCGAGATTTTATAATCATTATAAAGGCATTATGAAAAAGAGCCACTCTATTCATTTATATTTCACAAATCCTACAGACATTTGTGAAATACAGAAAACAATTTTCTCTGATTGTGGAGAAATAGCTTAGCTTTAATTCTATGATTTGCTTTTTGGTCTTTGCATTTCCATTTTTGGAGGAATTAAGGTTGTGGGACTAAGTGTGCGTGGTTTTGTTTCTTCTTACATCACATAAATAGAAAATAATTGTCCGTCCACAATATAAGTACAAATTTGATTGACTGATTTTTAGTGTTTTGTTCATATTCGGATATCAATCACATGAATATGAATGATATTAATATTCGGTTTCAAATAATGAATATAAATGATATTAATATTCGGCTTCAAATAATGAATATGAATGATATTAATATTCGGATATTATTTCAAATAATAAATAAACACATGCACTAATTGTCATACGCAAAATATATCTATTTTTTTTTTTTTGACTTGGTTACCGAGAAACCGTACATTTCAAAAAACACTTCTATTATGGTTATGAATTAAAGGACTTTACATCTGCTCAACCACTTTTTAAATTAAAATAATCACAGCTTTGAAGTAATGCCATTTTGAATAATGTAGTTTTGTGTAGTGAACTCATTTCATTCATTAGAAAGCTTGGATAGATGTGTAGTTTTACTTTGCTTTATTAATTTAATAAAGTTCTAAATTCTTTTTTTTTTTTTTTAATTTACCCATTTTTAACACAATAACATGTGATCATCATGATCAAATCCTTTTGGTCGTTTTTGGGTGTTATTCACAAACATTGTAGTAGTCATAAAAAATTTGCCCATTACGGGGTTTATTCGACCAAACCTGGGTATCATTTAATCAAACTTTGCCTGTAATAATATGTATCTATATTTTTTGTTATAAAGGTTTAGTTACTATATACTTTTAAACTTTATTTTGACCTATGTCTTTTTATATAGAATTTATTACTACTACGGGTCATTCTGTTTTGTCAACAGAAAGCTATTTATCTAGTGTAATTCTGATAAAATTACTGAAACAGTGCTTCGACCAATTTCAAAATCTTTAGCTAAGCTAGAATCATTTTTAGCATGCTTACGTAGTTCTTTTTTTTTTTTGGAGGTTGAATTCATTTTTAAGACAAAAAAAGCATTTAATCATTCAAAAATCATTCAAAAAGTTATTTATTAAAATTACAATAAGGTCACTTCCATTCATTGTCTAATTAACTAATTTATTGATTATTTAGAAATTATCAGTGATTTTCCATACTGACATGTCATTATAACGGAACAAACGCTATAAAAATTAGTAACAGCTTGTTATAATGACAATTTTTATTATGTTGTAATATAATGACAAGTATTATAATGCCAAAAAAAATTTTTTTAATTATTAATCTTTTTTATATTAAGTTATATTTCGCAGATGTTGTGTAAATACTAATATAAAATCACACCTACCTTTGTTGTAAATAAATTTTTCTTATGCATGATAAAATTTCTTTTAATAGTAAATTTCATCAAAAAAAACAGTAAAGTTTTTAATTAATTCGTGCGAATCTCTTGCCTAAATCCACTCGCTCTAATCCTCATTTTGCTTTTCTCTAATGAATCTAGTCATTTTTATTTCACTCACTCATCTTGTATTTGATATATTTCCTTATAAAGAAAATTATGTAGCTAAAGGCAATAAATTGGAAATCGAAATTTTAAAAACTATGCAAGATAGTGACGTTAGAATTCCATAGATTTGTGAGTATTTTTTTTTTTGCTCGTTTGGATTTATCGAGTTATTATATACCTGAAAGTTGCGCTGCCACTAAAAATTTGGTAAATAAGGAACTAGAAGCGTTTCATGGCCGCAATTCATGAAAGTTGCCAATTGGCCAATGCATGATAAACGATCTATTGTGAACTTCCTTCTCTATACCAACAGAAATGCTGACCAAATTTTCATTCTCGGAGCTTGTGATATATTGATTAAAGAGTGCAGGAAGCTCTTCGTTGCCATAACAAAAGTTATGAACGTCCCTTTTGATTTTTAATAAATTTCCATTACTTACTTTTTAGTGATGATGTGTTGTTGGCCTTATTCAGGGATTTAAATAATACACAATTATAATACAATGCAATGCAGGGTTGGCAATAGACTGGGCCAAAAAAAAATTAATTCTTTACCAATGAGTTCTCAGGCGAGGTAAGTGGTATTAGACTTATTCGTATATAAATTTGTAAGCATTAGAAACAACCTGATTTTAAAATAGGGGTTTTCCAAATATTACTATCAACTATACGAGTTGAAAAAAGTCTTTCACGTATACTATTTGTTCTACCTATTCCTTGTGGAAGTTATATCACATTTTATGAAAATAATCAATTCATTATTGAGATAGGAAAATCTTTTCATCAATAATTATATTTGAGTGACAGTATTGTATCAAACAGTAGTTTATTTAGTGATAAAATATTAATTTTTATTTCGTCACTAGAAAATTATATTATATCACGTGACTGCATTCTACCATTAATATAATTTTGCCAATCAGGAAGGCTTGTGTGACTAATTCCTTTTCCTTTCTTTCTTTAAAAATAATAAAAATAAGTACAATGCCTACAGTAAATGCATATGCTTTAGCAACAGTTTTTTTTGTCGCTTCTTATTTTTTTAACTGGCATGCCTTATTATCAACAGATTGGTAAATATAATTTTATATGTGCGTTATGTTTTTCTAGAGGAAATAAAAACAAATAAATTTAATTTAAAACGTAGGTTGGTTTTGGACATACCACCATTTAATAAACGAATGAGCTATGGATTATTCCAGGTAATTGGCGAAAAATAATGATTTAGTAAATAATATGCAAGGTCTATTTTTATTTTTAGAGAAATGATGAAATGTGTATATATATATTTTTCTTTTCAATAAATAAAGGTGTGTACAAATCTTTTGATCAATGAGTGTAGACCATTTCCATCAACAAGTTACAGAGATTGCGAAGAAAAATATTTTTGTGAAGAATGGATTCTATCATCTAGTCTTATGGTAGCAGCGTCAGCTATAGGAGGACTAACGTTGCTTTATTTAATGTTTGTATTAATTGGTGGTAGATATGCAAGGGAAACATCTTGGAGTAAAATTTCAGCTTTATTATTCTTAACTGGTAAATTCTTTTTTTATTACTTATTATTGCTATCGATACTATTATACATTATAACAATTAATTAATTTAATTTAAATAAACAGGTCTATCACAATTAGCTACAGTTTTTTTGATATCTCATCTTCTTTACAATTCAAATAAATTTTACGTTGGATTTAAATATGGAATTGGATTTTCATTTGCTATCATTTCTGCCTCTTTTAATATTTTAATTGGAGTAGTATTGCTAATGAATGGAATTTTATCACCTCCAGAATATAGATTTATTATTTAGAAAGATAATATATATATATATAATATTTATACATACCATAATAAAAGCAATGTATTATTGTTAAAAAATCAAAAAAAATTTGCGTATTAATCAATTTAATTAATTACTGTAAAATTACTTTACAAAAATCTTAATAATAAATACTGTCTATGATTACGTAATATGTGACACATGGTGTAACATTTTTAAAAATTAATAGAAATTAAAGCTTTACTAAAATTGAAGTTAATAGAAAGACAGTATAAAAAAACTACATTAATTAGAAAATCAATTAGTTAAAACCACCAATACTGATCATTATGGGTAGTAGCGCCGTCGCCTTCGTCGGTATTGTCATCATGATTGATAAAGTAGACAACGTTATTATTTATAAGTTGACTGGACTGTTGGTAGTAATAGTCGATATGGATATTAGGAAATTTATGGATCGGAATAAACTCGACAAGATTTGATGTTGAACTGAATTGGCCTAGGTCTTTTCATTGAAAAGGAAAAAAAATTTCATATAATTACTTTTTTAAAAAATTTAAAAAATCAATTTAAAATTGCCTCTACTGTTATGGTTGTTATCCCACTTACCATAATTTGATTGAGCATCTTTAGAACATATCCAACCCCTTTTCAAGCAATATTCACAGCTGGTATTTCTTCCTTCGGAACACTTTTTATGCGATCTTCTGCAATTTGTACAAGCAACGTTATATGGTCCCCTCGACTTTTTAATTTGTTTAATTCTGTTGTTTTTCATAATTAAAAATTAAAAATGCGGTTATAATTAATAACAATAAGATAAAGAATGTAAATTTTTGAAAAATATTTGTTTTTTTTTTTGAGAGAAAAGTGGTTTTTTTATATAAATATTGCTTACTATTTGGTTGAAAATCCAAAATAATGTTTCAATAAGAATTCAAGGCGGCTATCACATCCCATTGTTACCATTGGTTATTGATTTGGCAATAATTATATTATATATATCTTAATCAAGCTAAATAAGATAAAATAAAGACTGATTGATTAGCAAATAAAATTCTTTGGCCACTAAAAACTTTGATTCAAAGTTGATTTACAGTCAATGCGTATTTGTTGAAAACTTAATTCTGTAGATTGTTATATATTCTAACTATATTTGACGTGTTTTTGGAAATATCATACTTGATTAGGGTAAGTAATTTACCTAACAAATAAATAAGGCTTTATTGAGTGTGTACTTCCATTTGCGAGCAACTCTAATTATTAGTTAACACATAATTGGTTTGGCCGCTCGTTACGAAAGAAATTTGGGCCAGATCGTCAGTCAAATGGTGGTAATCACTATCATTTTCTCTCTGTGTAGCCTGGTCAGTTGGAATAACATCAGCCAAACAAACAAGCGAACCGTTAAACCAGGGTTAAGGCGCAATTTTACTCTGAATTGATTTGACGGTTTTGCTTCATTCATTATATCTTTTTTTGAATTGGATCATCGACAAAAATCACAAATGCACCATTTTTTTTGGTGAAGTCAAAGCTGTTGTCATCACAGTAGATCTTGTTGCATGTGTAAAGTTAACAATGTATGACTGCGCACAATAAGCTTTAAGATTTTAATTTATAGAACATATAATATAAATAAATCACATGCCTGTATCGCGGGGTTCGCTATCTACAGCCGGCGCTCGGTCTAGAAAGACTTCTTTATATAGTAATAATACAATTAATTATCGTCACATATCTACATGTTATATAATATCATTATATGTTAGTCTCGTCATAAACTGTATTTGAATACACTACTAATATAGTTATATAAAATTAAATTATTTAAAAGTTTACACGAAATAGATTAAAATGATATCTTTACATTATAAATATATGACTTTGTTTGTTGTAAAAGGCTTCAATTTGCAATTCTATAAACCAAATAAATAAAATAAAATTTTCTTGAGAAAAAAGAATCCATATAAACAATTTGAAGTAACAAAATCATTAGTTTCAGATATGGAAAACATTTGAAAGACTTTGTATTTATGGATGATGATACAAGCTTTATCCTCCAAAAATGGTTGTATGCAGTGCACTAATATTAGTAGTAAATCTCAATCTCATTTTATTTATTTTATGCGTTTAATATATATAATTCAATTCTATTATTTTATTGATTATAAAAATTGTTTATTAAAAAAACATTCGTTGAACATTGTGTATTAATATTAATTTCAAATCAATTTAAAGTTACGAACTTGCTATTATTTACACGTTACACGTAATATATAAGTTTTTCGGGAATAAAAGTCCGCTGCTAATACTAATACTACATTGTTTTGAAATACGAGTTTTTTTATTTTGAATCTGATAATACAATGATATAATTGGTGGAAAATTGGACCCTGGAAAATGAGAACGGGGTAACGAATACCTCGCACAAGATTCACCCGTAAATATGATATTATTTTTCCCAATTTGGTTAATTATATAATGGTAATCATTGTTAAAAGTATATATGTAGTCGATGAAATATTCCAAAAACAGACTATCTAAACGTCTTATTGGAATCATTTACCAATACTTATTTGTTACATATTTTTTTATAGTTTGAAAAAATCGGAAAACATGTCGAAAACCTGATTCCCCAACCACTCACAGTGAAGATGATGTTTTCAAGATATATTTGTATTAATTGATGATATCAATTCTGTCCAAAATAAAATAGGTAAAAAATTCAATTTCGCCCGTTCATATTATGTTATCCTTTGTAGTATATTCCATTTTGAAATTTTTCATATTAAAATTATGTGAAACATTTATTACCAAAAATACTAAAATACTACTAATATAATAAACAAAAGCTTTGTTTTTTGGGGGGAATAAAACACACATAATACACACATATATATTTTCGTCAAATAATTGTATTTATTGCATTTATTAATAGGAAAAATAATTAGAGCAACTCCAGCTGCTTGTTTTTGTTATGACTAAATCTAGATATCCATTGTTTATTTATTTTGAGAGAGGAGGGTTATTCATTATCAAGTTCTATTTTATTGATTCAGAATGCATTCGAATATTTTTTGACATATTAATATCTTCAGCAGACAGTTTTTATTTTTGCCATATTGCGAGCCAGGAACATTTCTTTCGACCTTTTAATTCCATTTAAATTAATCCTTCCCTCCAAGCTTGTTTAGTTTTTAATCACATATCCAGGTATCAATTTTGCATATATAATAAATTCTTTGTATCATTATCATTTAGTAAAAGTAATCTATTCATTAATGACTCGATCTAATCTTTGCTTTATAGTTAATCTATTCCCAGAGGAACCCAAATTACTTTCTTTAAGCTTGGAACTTATTTAACTTCTGATGTTACATATAATTCCATCCTGGCTGGTTAAAGTTTTTTGGTCGATGGAAATTAAAATTGGTAAATCACATTTTCAAAAAAAAAAAAAAATCTTTTGAAATACGTATATATGTGCGCACGCGCGCAACACATACATATACGTTTTTTTATATATTATATCAAGAAATATATATACACGCATATAGATATTTATTTTGTTTTTTAATACATATGAATATGGAGATACTCATCGTCGAAAACTTTATGAACTAACTGAACGAACGTGTAATAATATTATTGAACTTGATTCAAAAGTCATTTACGAATTAGCAACAAAAGCAACACCATCACTCGCAACAGCAGCAGCAGTAACAACAACAATAACAACAACAACAACAACAACAACAACTACAACTACTACAACTACTACTACTACAATCCAACAACATCATCTTAAAAAAATTAATATTGTGTATTGGCCTTTTTTGAAGTTCTGCCACCTTCATTCATGAATCCATGCGAGGCATATCCAAATATTATCAAAAATCTTGCTGGTATGACATGATAATAATAATAAATGTAAATTTGAACGTATATCATGCCCGTGAAGTAATCAATTGTAACAAGGTAAAAAAATTTTATATTTATATTGTATAATAATTAATATAAATTGACTTTTTATAAGGTTAACTTTTTAATCATCAAAGAATCGTTAATAACAGGAACCTTAAAATCACAAATATTAATAAAAACATCGTGGGAGATGTCATCCAAAAGAAGAAAAAAATAATTATTATTATTAAATAATATATTTTTAAAAAAGAAAGTATTTATATTTATATTTTTTTATACATACGTTTATATAAATTTTTTTATTTACATTCTTTTATGCATATTCTTAGATGCATGTTTTTTTACCTACATTCTTTTATGCATGTTCTTACTATATTTAATGTATATATAATTTTTATTTTAGGTGAAACACATGTCTACCATGTGGTGGGGTGTAAATGTCGGTCGATGCAAAGTTGACAGTCTTTTTTTTTAATATAATGACAAACAATGAATATGTGTTACTGTTATTGTTTGTCATTGTTTTATTAAGTAAATCACATAGATTACATAAAGTTTGCAATTTCATAAGCAAATGATCGGCATGTCTTTGTTAAGAATGGAAGTATAACAAACAATAATTGAGGTAAATTAATTATCTGTCATTGTTGTCATTGTGTACAATATGTCACAGGAAGTAACAAGATAAATTATATTGCTTTTCTACTTTATTTTAACATATTAGAGCTTCACTAACTGTCACAAAGAGAGATGATATTGCAGAGAAACCAAGATCTCAGTGCTTCATTTATATACCACGTGGAAAATAGGGTCACCTTGACAAGAAAAAAATTATAATATGACCAAAGCCTCGATTTCCTTGACAAATGGAGTGGTTCAAGTTGAATGAATTGTAGGAAAAGAATCAAGCGACATGGAAACTACGGGCCTGCTTGTGCATAGAATGCATTTCTGTCTTGTTGACATTAGGATTACACATCTCGAGTGCCAATGGAATACCTTTTTACTTAACATGTCAAACTTGTTGATTTATTTCTTTACAGATGAATCATCTCGTGATGAGCGTGCATATAATTTTTGAAGGTATGTTTTTGCAGAAAGCTATGCCAATTTAAAAGAAAAAATAGTTACTACAAGAATGAAAATTATCTCTCCTTACTCTTCATCTACATGTTGTTTCCTATCTGTCTGTCACCATATCAGCTCTTACCCAATTAACATATCGGTAAGTTTAGAATATGGTTGGGTTGCGTGTATAAAGTTAATGAATTGGCAACATTTACCACTTTTTTGAATATTGAAAAAGATATAAAGAAGCTCCAATGGTACATGCCACACTACTAAACCAACAGTGAAGATGATAATGGCCAGATTGACAGTTGATACACCAAAAACGATGCTTCTATTGCCTTTCTTTAAATCTATTAAATGGGAAGGATGGGCAAGGTAATTAATTATTTAGATTATTATTATTATTGATATTTTAAATATTAACCTTACTAAATTTGTCTGATTATTAGACAGTTCAAAACACATTGAAAATAGTCAATAAAAAAACTATTTATAAAATTTTTTTTTTTTAAAAAAAAAAAATCCAGTTCCCTTAATTTCAGATAACCTTTTCATTTTCATAACTACTTTATTTTATAATGATAATGATAACAGCAAAACTGGTTATTTATTGTTTTCAATAATTTTACAATGTTAATATGAAGAAAATTATATTTCTCAAAATCTTGAAGGTATTAAACATAAGGGATGTTGATTATCGACAAAGGTGAGAACAAGAAAGCGAAGGGAGGAAGAAGAAAACACAATTAACGTATTAATGCTCAAATCTATTATAATAATTATCATAACGCTAAAAATATTAAACCCGATAATTTTTACTTTTATGCTGTAGAATATGGGAACTGCCAACTATTCTGATTTGCGCACTTTAGAGTTAACCCCTACAACATTTTTAGCAAAGTACGAAGCTGAATGAAAGGCCTGTAGTAAATGTTATGCTCCTACTATCTATCCCTATATATTATATTCGTTCTGACCGTGGTAGGGAAAAGATAAATGGAAAAGTGAATAGTGTGGACCAATGACGCTATCATGTGATTAATAATGACGTCAGATTTTCTGAATGGCTTACCTCCACACAATAGATAATGAGAAACTCAACACTTTCTTGACTCTCTCATCGCTTCGAAAGTTGGATAACTTTATTTTTTTATGTCTCATTCTACTAATCATTGTTTCTTCCATCATATTATTGGATTATTATCGAATGTTTGATGCTCGCCAACATAACACAACGTATAGTGAAAAATAATAGAACAAAAACTAATCCAGTAGTAGATAGATTGTATTCAAACTCGGTTGAGTTTTACGATAGTCAAATGCAAAACATTATAAATTATATAATACAAACAAATATTAAAATTACAATTGTTTGAATAATGATTATTTAATAGCAATATTTATTTCTGAATATTAATAGTAATAATAATAAATTTAAATTTATGTCCTTCAATTTCATTATAATTGTTTGATCTTTTAAATGGTAATTTGAATCAATAATTTTATCTGGATAACCAAAGCATCACTACAAATACTAGAATCATCAACGTAGTATCACCGTAAATTGCATCTTGATCATTATATCTGTTTCAGTAGTAGCTGGTTGGTTTCACTTATAATATTTACTGATTTTGAATCATTATCTGAAATGTCTGGAAGAGTAAGTTAGCTACAGTAATCTTTTGATTTTCATTTTGCGATTTATAACAATTAAGCCCAGCAATAGAATGATGTAAAGTTATGTTCAACTTAAGTTCCTATAAATATATATATTACAAATTAAAAAATCTCACATTTAAAATATTAAAATTTACATTGTTATTTCGTAAATTTAGAATATGTGAGTAATAGTTTTATTGTTAGTGGAAAAAGTTACACATAAACGATAGGGGCCAAACCCTGTTTAAGCTTAATTTTACTTCGTAAAACTGAACTTATATCCGTACCACCCAGGGTTTAACTATTAACTATTATCAAGAATACTACTAATTATAATTATAAATATTTTTTATTTTTAGCCTCTAGAGTATAATGATTTTGATCGCTTTTTCAAACTCCGAACCGGTTTAAACTGAATAAAAAACTGATTTCAATTGGTAAATTTATAATCCAATTTGGGTTATTTGTTTATTGTGTTATAGAATTATTTGTTTCCCAAGTCGAAACTTGTTTATTCAAGAAAAAGTTATTTTACAACTATAGGAATTATATAATTCACACGCAAACGCAATCTTATTACAATGGAACCACCTACTTGCACTATTCTCATGAATATAATATAACAATAGTGTGCACAATCAAAGCTCGTTTCAATAAATCTTGTTTCAACTAATTATAGTTAAATTCGTATTACGATTATAACGAATTTTAAATGCAATTTTCCATAGAATGACTGTATAAGTTCTTTATTTTCCAAAAACAGTTATTTATACGTACAAAACTTGGTTCAATCAATTATTTGCTAAAACAAAAATCAAAGATCTTTTGGCAAAAAAAAAATTTTAAAAACAACCAAATCTGGAGATAATTGCAAGAGTTTTTGTGCAAGTTGAGATAAAAATTTTATTCACCATTTTTAAAAAAAATTTCCATAATATCAATCTGCCGGTGAAAAGAATACAATATCAAACCGGTCCAACCGGTTTTATTGTTATTATTACTATATATATATATATATGAAAAATTTGAACCAATTTATGTTGCAACCGGTTTAACCGGTTTAACTCAATTGCATCGAACCGGTTCCAAACCTATTTTAGTAATTATGTTAGAATTAAAAGGTTGAAAAGGTTGGAAGGTGGTAATTGATGCGAAATGGCGTATATGACATTCTTCATTGTACATTTTCCAATAATTCGCTTATTTTAATGACATTTATAAGTTAATGCTGCATTTGTTTTCTATTACTATTATAATGTTTTGGTGTCAGCGGGGTCTCCAATGGAAATTATAAGGTATGCCACACGCATCTCTCACAAGAACATTCAAATATACATTCACACTGGCAACCTGGATTCCTAAAACACCAAATTGATTTCTAACTGGTCTACATATCATATATTATATGTAAGCATTCCACACACATCAACTCATTAATCTTCCCTCAAAACTTCACAAACGCTAACCTGCCCTCCTATACTCATCACTCTTCCGATATTTTCCTATTCAAACACTGACGCTCCGCACTGCAGTAAAATCCAACTTTAAATGATTCGAATAGCCATAGTGACGAATTTTCAAAAAATTCTATTTACAGGCTCAAGCAAATACTCCCATTAGGCATATCCATCGACAACCTGGGTCGGCATTCAGCAATAATCAGTCAAACAAAAAATCATTCATCTAACATAGTATCATCATTATGTATGAACACTAAATAACTACATTTATAAATAATTTTACTGTGATATTCATAGTTTCCATGATGGTTCGAATGTAGTATTGGCAGAGTTGGTTTTTTATCTTTTACTTGGACATAAATTAATTATTAGAAACCCTGGTATTATTAAATTGTTAGCATTAGTTTCAAATTCCTTTAACAACCAATCATTGCCACCAGTATTTACTTTAAATTAACTAGATTATGATGAAAAAAGTTATTTATTATAAAAATAATAAATAATAAATTTTATTATTTCGTTGGGATTGCATAACATCTAATACAATGAATTAACATTGATTTTTGTTTATTATATACCTATATCAATTCTCATTTCATACAACATTTGTAAAATTTGTAAACTAAACATCCTTTTGTAATATAAAGTTATTCTTGTTGTTGATCAGTTTTTATATTACAGATGTGAATGATTATTATGTAAATTATTTTTGGCAATCCTATACCTTGTGACTGATTGGTAGGTACAGTATGTAATGTATATTTCTCCAGTGACATTCTGCTTCCTGTTGTTAAAGATGGGAACTGCAATCAGCTGTAATTCAATTTTCATATGCTGCAATTAGTAGCAATTAATTGAAGAGCCAACTGACAAAGTTGTTACAGGTACTTTTTATTCTCGGAATCTCCTCAATGGCAAATTTTTTGATGCATTTCTGAAAAACATCATGATCTCCCTCAGGCATGCAGTTTAAAGGTTCTGAATTGATATACAATATTCCAAAACATAATGGATGATCATATCCAAGTACCTCTATGTGGATATTTTGAAGCTCATCAGATATTTTTTTCCATGCACTATAATATTTTGTTAGTAAAAACTCTATGCAAGGGATATTACTTATGAAATGTACAGATACTTTGGTTACATTGAGCTTTAAATTAGTCATATTTGATTTTGCATCATTATGCCATGTTATCAAATCAACATTCTATTGCAATGGTGTGATGTTTAGAATTTATCTGAAATTGTGACAACTATAATAATGTATTTACATACCAAGACACCAAGTCCTATAAGTGTAGTCATCTCATCAAAAAGCCCTGCTACCTACAATATTAATATATAATTATGCAGACCAGAAAGACTTCTATATTTCATTTATTTTTCAAATGCCAGCTGGCAAGTAAATATAACTTCAATGGAATTCACATATCATGTGGGCTATTTGTAGATGACCTATGACGGTTTCATGCACTCTTCACTGAAGTCATGGCAAATACGCAGTAGAGAAGCTAAAATATCAATTACTAAATGATGTAAACTTACTCGTCAATTCAAAGCAAATACTAAATTGGAAAAAGAGTTTGTTTTCATTTCAAATTTATGTTACATGTAATATATTTTTAGTTCAATAGATATTATATAGAAGGAATGAAATTCTACCGAAAAGTTTAATCGTATTAAATATTCTGTTTACTATATATAGGTTTAGCTTTTTCTTCAAAATAACCATTTTTTTATTGTCATGTTGAAATTAACTGGTCGGTTGACCAAAGAAGCTCTTTACTGAATTTATTAAAATTACCGTATAGAATCATATAACTTATTTCCTTATTTGTATTATTAATTGCTAGTGATGATTAATAATAATTTATGCAATTCAAGATGATATAAAGCAAAACATATAACCTAATTTTGTGTTTTATGTGAAATTTTGTGGTAAAAAATCTTAAATTATGCGTGTATTATTATAGCTAGTGATTTTAAAGAATCTTGGGACAAAATTTGTCAGATAATTAATTGTTGCTTGCTTCATATTTGTTTTATGCTTAACACCACCAAAGCACAACTGTCCATTTATTTATTTATATCAACTGATAGACAATATTATTTCCAAAAAACACCAGGGTATTCTTTTATTTGAGAACGAATTGATACTATTCGAGTTTTTATAATTTTATGGAGTCATTATGAAAAAGAGCCACTCTATTTATTTATATTTTTACGAATTCTACAGACATTTGTGAAATACAGAAAAAAATGGAGAAGTGACTTGGATTTAATTCTATGATTTATTTTGGTCATTGCATTTCATTTCTGGAGGAGTAAAGGTTGTGGGACTATGCGTCTTGTATGTGATTTATGTGAATACAAGAAGGAATAAAGTTACGCAGTATATACAAAATACAGAGATTGCTTTTTTATTTTAAAGTTTTGAAGCAATTAACTATGCAATTATACAATCATGCGATTATGCAATTATACAATTGTGCAATTATGCAATTATACAATTATACAATTATGCAATTATGCAATTATGCAAATTATGCAATTACGCAATTATGCAAATTTAAATATACATCAATCAACGAAATAATTAAATCGTCACTATTAAACAAAATATTCATTTTGATATATATATATATTGAGTTTGTTACTAATAACCGTACGCTTCAAAAAAACGTAGCATTATATACTTATATCGCAGACCACAAATTAAAGGAGTTTACATCTATTCAATCATTTGTTTTAAGACATTTAAATTAAAATTGGAAAATAATCTCAGCTTTGAAGTAAAAATGTAACGCCATTTTGAATAGGTGTAGCTTTATACAACGAACTCATTTCATTATGAAAAAAATTCATTAGGAAGCTTGGATGGTGTAGTTTGTTCATTTTGATTTATTAATTTAATAAAATTCGAAAGCTTGATTACACTGAATTCAACGTGTAATATTATATTGGAATTGTAGAAATAATGGATTTATTATTATGAAAAAATATATAATATATAGAAAAAACAATGTATTGTTATGCAAAATTGATTTGCTTTGCCCCGTGATGTAATCTTATCTTAATGCTTAACGTTATGGGTGGTAGTGGTGGCGGTACTGTTGATGGTGCCATCTTAATTGTTTTGGATAAAGTTATTCATAAGTTGGTCGTAAGTTTGGTAGAAATAGTCGATAGAAATATTAGGAAATTGATGGATTGGGATAAATTCAATCCCAAATTGATGAACGATATTTTCGCCTAATTTTTTTTTTCATTGAAAAGTAAAAGGAATAAATTTTCGTAATTACTGTTTTTAAAATAAATTAAAAAATCAATTTAAATTTTACCTCTACTGCTTCCCTCATAATTATTTGATGGAACAACGACAACATTTTTAGAACATTCCAAGCCTTTTTTCAAACAATTTAGACAGCTACTAGTTTTCTCTTTAGAGCATTTTTTGTGGGTCCTACTACATTCCCGGCATGCCTTGAAGTATGGACCCCTTTGTTTTTTATTTTTATTGATGATGCTGCTATTTTTCTTCATTATTATAATTAAAAATCGAAAATGTGGCAATGGTTAATAATAATAAGATAGAATGTATAATATTTGTTTTTTTATAACGGAGGAGAAATCGAATTCTTTTTATAAGTGATTATGTTACATCAGAATGTCCTAATTTAGTAATAATTGTATTATTAATATGACTAAATGGCTTAACCAAACGCTCGATTGAGTTACGCAACTAGCACTGATTATATCACCATTGTTATTATTGGGTAGTGATTAAACTATTATACTAATAATTATTTATATCTCCAAATGATGTAAAGAGATTCATTGGTTGGCGAATGGAATCTTTCATTTAACTACTTTAATATCTCCGATTTAAAAATTACATATTAATATAGTAAGTGCGCCGTTCCACTGATACGTGTTTGGTTGTCCGGTTAGAATCCTTTTAATAAATTAATTATCTCAAAATAAAATAAAGTTTATTGAGTGTACGTCACTGGAAACTTTGATCTAATTGGAGTTTTGACCGCGGTCAAACCCAGATCGCCAGCTAAAATGGTAAAAACCATTTAGATCAGTTGAATGATAATCTAATTGACCATATGTCAAAGAGTGAATTGATTTGATGGTTCGTGTTTTATCTTTTTAAATAATGATTTAGGTAGTACAATCAAATCGCCTGTTACGCGCTGATGTATGATCGTATACTAATACAATTTTATATTCGTGGAACGTATATTCCGAAATACACTATTATAGGCTCATCTTTATTGAACCAATAGTTGTTTATATCAATTATAGAATGATGAATATATACGAAAATGGATGTAAAATGAATAGTATAAATTAAAATGAAATTTATTTATTTTGCATATTTTGCATATTTTATTTATTGTAGAAAGCTTCTTTGTAATTTTAAATAAAAAAAATTTTTCTCAATACAAAGAATTTTGAAGTATAAAAAATAATTGGTTTCAATGTGAAAAGTTTTCTAGGGTTGATTAAACAAGTTTTACCTTCGAAATATAGGTGAGGCGTATTTAAATCAAAAGGATCGCAAATACGCGCGACGATTTTATTTATCAATTTCCTTTACTTATTTATTATATTTTTAGTTTTGCCCTTCCTTAATTTGGTTAATTATACGGATCAATAATAAACATCAATGAGATTCATGGTCCTATTGGATCTCAAAATTCAATCGGTTAAAAGAATTTCGCAGATCTTTTATGTGCTTCTCTTTCTCTAATATATACTAATATAGACTTTTTAAGGAACACAATGTATATGGGCGGTTTTCCAGAAAAAGGCACTTTAAATGCCCTCTGACCAAAATTGAGTTCTTTGCATAATATATTAATATATTTATATTATAAGGACTATAACTGATGAAAAAATCCGTATCTGTTTATTTATATAGTAAAAAAATTTTAAAACATATCGTGTAACAAACATATTTTGCAAGGGGTGTTACTCAAAAAAGGTTAATATGACTAGGCATATACCTTTTGTGGAAGGACTCCTTATATAAACAACAAACATTGCTAACCAAATTAAACGGGAAACACGAGTGAGTATTGATTGGGATAATTGAGTAGGATGATCGACATATTTTATGTGATGAGATAGGAAAAAAAAATTCGTATAAAAATTTTTTTTTGCTTTTTTTTATATATTAATATTAATTAAATTTTACTTAATTTACTTAATTTACATATTTAACAAAAATAATGCCACTATTTTATATTTGAATTAAATGTCCAATCACACAAGAGATATCGAGCGTTACTAAACTAGGCTTTTTGACATTTAAAATGAGGGTGATATTATTTTGAATATTTTAAATTTAAAATGATGTCACACACGAATAGAATCAACAAAAGGCTTAAAATTTTGTATTCTGTTAACTTTATTAAGTGTTATATAAAATTATGGAGTGGTCGTGTACTTTTTTAAACTTTTTCACAAATTAATTTACGCTGGCTGACATTGTATTGTAAATATATATGTAATCCATCACGTTAAGCATGTGCATTACAACAAAAAAATTCGACATGTAAAAATTTCGATTAAAAATTTTCTTTTTTAGACTATTTGCTAAATGTTTCCGTTCATACCATACCACAGGGTTAGCAAATTGACTGGTCCGTTAAGAACTGATTCTTCCATTGCCATTAATAAAATACTAAATATAGTTGAAATGTTACATTAATGGACCCAATGTAATCACCAATAGACTACCAATGGACCACCAATGGACTACACATTTGCCATCTCTGCCATACCAAACTTTTTGAAGCTTTTGTAATTTGAGATTTTGATATTAATGAAATTTATGTGAAATTCAAATTAGCCGATCAGAATTTCATATCCAAACACCCCACCCAAATTTTTAATTATAGATTTCAATTTCACATATAGTCAAACCTCGTCACAGCGGATTCACGGTTCCAGCCAAAAAATCCGTTATGACAAGAAACCGCTGTGGCAAAATTGATGATCGGCAAAAATTTTTTAATAATATAGCACAAATTTTGTGTAAGCGTGATGAAATTAAAGACAAAAGTCAATCCAATAAATATTTATATTATTTCATTTTTTTTTTGCAAAGGGATAAAATTCAATGTCTAAATTTGTAGGAATCTGCATTAGTTACACACTGGAATTTATACACTGCTAAATGAATACACGCGGAAATTAAAATTATTTGTTGTAATATTTGGTTTATTAGTTTTTCCATTTTTCTTTTCAATGATTTAAATGCTTTGAATTCTTTATAATCTAGTTGACTTTGTTTTATTTTAGAAACTTGGAAAAATTTGTTACTTGCAAACATTCGGACAAATCAATTGTTGGTTTATTAATATATTTTTAGTATTTTGTTACTCGCAAAAATTTGGACAAATAATCTATCAATTGTTTGTTTATTGATTTATTTTAGAAACTTGGAAAAGGTTGTTACTCGCAAAAATTTGGACGAATAACCCTATCAATTGTTTGTTTATTGGTTTATTTTAAAAACTTGGAAAAGGTTGTTACTCGCAAACATTTGGACAAATAATTTATCAATTGTTTGTATTGGTTTATTTTAGAAAATTTGTTACTTATAAATCTTTGGATAAAATTGTTTGTTTTATTGCTTTATTTTAATATCGACCTTTGATTAAAAATAATCTATTTGATTATTATTTTATTTTATCAATTTTGGTAATTTGTATAAACTTCATAATTTATGTCACGTGAATCCGCTGTGATGAGACTAGTAGCCGTATAAAAAGAACACCATCAAACAAACATTTTTAATTAACAAAAAAGGGGCCAGTATTTAAATCCGTTGTAACAAGAAATCCGAGGTTTGACTCTATATATATATATATATTGAACTTGCTATTGAACAATCGTACATTTCGAAAAAAACGTGGCATTATATACTTATATCGCGGACCACGAATTAAAGGAGTTTACATCTATTCAATCATTTGTTTTAAGACATTTAAATTAAAATTGGAAAATAATCTCAGCTTTGAAGCAAAAATGTAACGACATTTTGAAATAGGTGTGGCTTTATGCAGCGAACTCATTTCATTAAGAAAAACATTCATTAGGAAGCTTGGACGGTGTAGTTTTACTTTGCTTTATTAATTAATTTAATAAAATTTAATAATTCAAATTTGGAGGAAGATTTTTTCAATATTAATATCGACCATCCCAAAGTCCTATGACTAATATGCTTTAACAATAGATTTTTTTAATTGGCGTGCTTTATTATCAACAGGTTGGTAAATATATTTTTATATGTTTTATGTTTTTGATGAAAAAAAATCAAATTGGTTTAATTTAAAAACGTGGGTTGGTTTTGGGCATAACAAGACTATTTAATAAACGTATAGGTTATAGGTAACGCAAGATCTGTTTTTTATTTTCAATAATTAAAAGATGTGTACAAATCTTTTGATAATTACCAAATTAATAAATTTATATTGAATAACTATTTATTATTTGTTCAAGCATTTTTAAATGAATAAATAGCAACAAAAAAAATTTTATCTAGATTTTTTATTGATTTGATTGTATTGAAATATTGAATTTTAAAAAAAAATCTTGTATTTTAATCAATGACAACAAAAATGGAATTATTCTAGTATAATAAATAAAATTATATTTGTTTATTAATACAAATAGAACTATACCTGAAACCATCAATGATTTACTGTTAACAAAAATGGGATTTTTGGTTATCAATAAAAATAAAATTATACTCAAAAAACGTTAATAAAAATGGAATTATAATAAAGTATGTTTGTTGATGTTGTATGTGAAATTGAAATTATGTGAAATTGAAATGGGGTGAAATTCTGATTGGCTAATTTGAATTTCACACATGTAAATTTGAATTTCACGTACAACATTAATAAATGTAAATAATTTTTTTTTTCGATTTGTTACACGAGTTTTCTGCACAAACCCTATTACTATTAATAGATTTTAATAACACGCGCCCGCACTCAATTTCATTTTTGACTGGTAAGTTCTTTTTTATTACTTATTATTGCTACTGATAATATTATATTATATTACAAAAATTTCTTTATTACATTTAAATAAATAGGTTTTTTTGATGTTTCATCATCATCTTTATTATAAAATTTATATATTGTAATTTCATCACTCCCAGAAGATATGTGTGTGTGTGTGTGTGTGTTATATTATTATTAAAAAAATGTAAAATAAACTTATCATATAAATTAACTTTTAAAATTAACAAATTTAATATAAAGTAAATATAAAGAAAATCCCATTAATTAGCCATATAATGCTTAACGTTATGTGTAGTAGCGGTGGCAATGTTGTTGACGATGCCATCTTAATTGTTTCTGATAAAGTTGTTCATAAGTTGATCGTAAGTTTGGTAGAAATGGTCGGCAGAAATGTTAGGAAATTGATGGATTGGGATAAATTCAATCCCAAATTGATGAATGATATTTTCGCCTAATTTTTTTTTTTTTCATTGAAAAAGTAAAAGGAATAAATTTTCGTAATTACTTTTTTTCAAAAAATAAATTTAAATTTTACCTCTACTGCCATGGTTATTATCGTAATTGTTTCCCTCATAATTATTTGATGGAACAACGACAACATTTTTAGAGCATTCCAAGCCTTTTTTCAAACAATTTCGACAGCTACTAGTTTTTTCTTCAGAGCATTTTATGTGAGATTTACTGCAGTTCGTGCATGCTTTGAAGTATGGACCCCTTGGTTTTTTATTTTTATTGATGTTGCTGCTATTTCTCTTCATTATTATAATAATTAAAAATAATAATAAGATGCAATGTATAATAGACGTATTATTTATTATTAAATGTTTGAGAAAATATTTGGTTTTTTTTTTAAGGGATGGGATGGGAAGAATTGTGCTATTTATAAACAGTTAATTATATTACATCACAGAGTTGGCAGTTAAATACTAATTTAGTACGACTAAATGGTTTGATCCACCCAAGTGCTCGTTCATTAATTACTATTGTTATTATTGTTATTGGTAAGTTTACTCTTTTAGATATCTTAATCAAGTCAAAAAAATAGGCAAAGAATAAAGAGATAAAGTCCAATTTGGTTAATGAATAGAATCATTTAATTTAACCACTTTAGTACTTTCGAATCACCGATAGGTGTTTGATTTAAATATTTTAAATATGCTTTCATAATCTTCATTCAGTTAGTATTATTTTTAACAAGTTATTGAATGTGCATGTCGCAGTTCAATTGGAATTTGAATCAATTGACTGATAATCTCGGCCAAACAAAGAAATCAAATATTGACCATTGTTAAGGTGCGAATTGGTTTGTATTATAAATATCGTGATACGCTAATTTTTGTAATGCGATCAAAGTGGTCGTATATATACTAATATACAATAATTCTCTATTCATGCAACGTTATACTCTGAAACACATCACTATAAGATAATCTTTATCGTTAACCTGTTGAACTAAATTAGTTATTTATATCAATTATAAAATGATGAAATACATACGAAATAGGTGTAAAATGAAATGATATAATAATAACTAGTGCAAATAGTATAAATAGTATAAATAATATGATTAAAATGAAACTTTTAACTTTGCATATTTATTTGTTATAGAAATCTTTATGGAAGAATATGAAACAAGGAAAAAAAAATTTAAAGTATAAAGAATCATTAGTTTTCAAATGTGGAAACCATTGAAAGTTTCCTAGAGTTTAAACCGTTTTTGGAGGAGATCGTGGATGAGCAATAACGAAGATTTTAGTTATCAATTCAATTTCCTTATTTATTATAATATTTAATTAATATTAGGAGAACGTTTTTAATAATAAATAATAACCAAATTAATAGTGTTGTGCCATTTATAGTTCCAATAAAATTCATTGGAGCATTCTAATAAATTCCAATTGGAATTGGAACATTCCAAATGTGGTTTAACAAATGAAATTCAATTACAATGTCACATATACGAATTTTATTGGTTAATATCAATTGAAGATCTATATGGAACATTCTGATAGCGCTACAATGTTCCAATTGCACAACACCGATAATATGGAACATTCTGATAGCGCTACAATGTTCCAATTGCACAACACCGATAATATACATCACAAAGCTTACAAGTTTCATAACATTGCTAAACCAAATTGATGAACAAAATTATAATAATGATCAAAAAAAAACAACCGTGTGTATATGAGAATTAATTGGGATGATCACTTATCATTGAACAAGATCATCACTTGATTTACTTATTACAATGAAACAATATCTGCAATATATCGGCCGTATGTATTAATTCATTTTTCTTTGTGATAGAAGTTACACGAGTTTTAATGTCATTATAATAATAACACAATTAATGATTTACTCAATTTGTTACATATATATATATATCAGATAATTATTTTTTTTATTTTATTAATATTAAATTAATAATTGGAAAAACAGATTTCGAATAATATATCAGTCGGACATGTCCTTTCAAATTATTTTTTATGTTAAATAAAAAATTTCTAATTCGTGTCATGAAGTTTTTTTAAAATATCTTGTTATTTTTATAATAAACTCGAACTTTATTGTTAGAGTAAAATGAAAATACTCCATTAAAGCTTTCTAATGAATACTCTTTCATATCGAAAGGTCTTCTTTATATAAATCTACGACTATTCAAAAATGGTGTTACTTTTTCACTTCAAAGCTCAGATTATTTTTCAATATCGCTTTAAAAGACCTGATAGTGATTGAAGAGGTGTAAAATACTCTAAGCTTTCATATGGTCATTACTTTATGGGGGTGTTGGTTAATAATTTTTAGAGAGGTTCACGAAAAACTATTTTATAGAAATTTAACAGTCATGTCAAGAATTTTATGATTCAGCAAAAATTTTTTAAAAAAGAGAAATCAAAAGAACCAAGTTTACAACCTATTATTATTTATGAAAGTAAGTAATAGATATTATAGGAAAAAAATGTATAACTATATTATAAAAGAATTATTTGTTTATATATTTATTTATCTATGAGAGAATGTAATTACTAATACTATTTATCTCAATTCATCTAGGAGAAAATGCACAAATTTCTTTTTCCAAAGGTTAATGGTTAAATCAGAAGGAATTGTTATGTGACTATATTTAGTGATGTATGATCAGAAAGAATTTCGCGACCATAATTTATTTATTATTACATTATTAATTATTTTATTTTTAGAAAATTCAACATCAAAAATTCTGGTTGTAATAACAATTATACTATTTATTCTTTTTAGATCTGGTGGTATACGATCAGAAAGAATTGTTGTGGCCATATTTATTTATTATTTATTTTTAGAAAATAGATAGAAAATTCAACATTATAAAGATTTAGTTGATATATGCCTGTAATTAATCATTAATTATAAATTAAAAGGTATTTATTTATTAATGATTGTTTTATTTGTTTTATTCATTAATTTTTGTTTCTCATGTAAAAAAATATAATATCTATTAGTGAAAATGAAGATATAGTATTTATTTTTTAATAATTGAAATTCCAATGAGGACCTAAGCTAGCAAACATACAATGAGTTATAATTAAATTTGTTGCAATTGCGTTACTGTAATTTGGTATAATGAATTTTAGATGCAATTTTCTTGTGTCCTCATAGATTCATTGGAATAGTATTGATCCAATACTTTCTTCCGGGGATTCATGAATTAAGATTAGTTGGTCTTTGACATTTCAATTGTTATTATCATCAAATCTATTAAATAAACCCATATTTACAAGTTTTAATAAATTCTATTAATCTAATATCAAACAATGCCCTCTACCTGTAATTCTTGTATCTGGATTAATTCATAAAAAATCGATCATTTTCCACACCATAATAAAGTTTTCCTATAAAATGTTTGGTCATAATTAAAATTTAATATATTAGTATAAACCATACTTTATTTGTTTAAAATAAATGATAGTATAAAGTGAGCATTGATTTCTATAACATTTAATTTACCTTTGCATGCACTAATAAATTTCTATATATATGAATATAAAGTCAAAATTTGACTTTAAGGCTGAGATTATTTTCAGTTTTATTAATAACTTGCTTCAAAAAAATTTTTAAAGCAGATACATATGAAAAAGAAGTTATGTATCAAATTTGATGGCAATTGCTACACGACAAGGGTATCAAACGAGGGTATGAAGACATTCAATTCAAAATTTTATTAATAACTAGAGTATGCGAATATGCCGGTCACCAGGATTTTTTCTAGTTAAAAAATTTGGCAAGATTTTTAAAATTTAATAAATTATAAAAATGATGACATTACAAAATGATATCATTGGTTTTATTTTTATGATATCATGCAAAAATTAGTTTTTTTTAGGCTTTTTTGAAAATGTTATATAAGCGATGTTAATTCTTGTAAAATCTATATAATATATATATACAAAATAAATGCATAAGGCACAAAGCATAAGGCATAAGGCATAATACATATATTGTAAAATTGAAAGCATTTTTTTTTGCGTGATCATCGCCTATATACTTTAATAATATGATATAATAGGAAATTGATAAATGACTTAAACTTTTTTTATTAAGAAACTCGATATATTTGGAATTATCATGCAAGCAAATCATGGTCGACAAAAATACACGTTAAAAAATTGTGTAGATCACCGGAAAATAAACTTTTAGGACATGTCACACTAATGTTCTATGTTACACACACCTGCACATTCCGCACATTGAATTTTATGCAAGGAAAATATCTTGGAGTAAAATTTCTGCTTTATTATTTTGACTGGTAAGTTATTTTTTATTAATTATTATTGCTACTGATAATATTATATTATTTAAATAAATAGGTTTTTTGATGTTTCATCATCATCATAAAATTTATATTGGGAATTTGTGGAAATTGTAATTTTATCACTCCCAGAAGATAGATTTGTTATTTAGAAAAAATATATAATATATAATGTATATGTGTGTGTTATAAAAAAACAATATATTATTATTAAAAAAGTGTAAAATTGATTGCTTTACAATGTTATATAAACTTATCATATAAATAAATTTTTAAAATTAACGAATTTAATATAAAGACAATATAAAGAAAATTCCATTAATTAGCCATATAATGCTTAAAGTTATGGGTGGTAGTGGTGGCGGTACTGTTGATGGTGCCATCTTAATTGTTTTGGATAAAGTTATTCATAAGTTGGTCGTAAGTTTGGTAGAAATAGTCGGTAGAAATATTAGGAAATTGATGTATTGGGATAAATTCAGTCAGACCCGATGTCAAACTAAATTGGTGAATGATATTTTCGCCTAATTTTTTTTCATTGAAAAGTAAAAGGAATAAATTTTCGTAATTACTTTTTTTAAAATAAATTAAAAAAACAATTTAAATTTTACCTCTACTGTCATGGTTATTATCGTAATTGTTTCCCTCATAATTACTTGATTGAACAACAACAACATTTTTAGAACATTCCAAGCCTTTTTTCAAACAATTTTGACAGCTACTAGTTTTCTCTTTTGAACATTTTTTGTGAGATTTTCTGCAGTTTGTACACGCATTGAAGTATGTACCCCTTTGTCTTTTATTTTTATTGATGATGCTGCTATTTCTCTTCATTATTATAATTAAAAATCGAAAATGTGGCAATGGTTAGTAATAATAAGATGCAATGTATTATTTATTATTAAACGTTTGAAAAAAAATATATAATTCTTTTTTTTAAGGAATGGGAAAAAATTGGACTATTTATAAGATTAGTTATATTACATCCCAGAGTCGACAGTGTAAAAGTTAAATCCTAATTTAGTATGACTAAATGTTTTAGTCGGTTCAATCAAGTGTTCGTACGAGTTCCTGATTAATTACTATTGTTATTGTTGGTTATTGGCAAGCTTTACTCTTTATAAATTACTAATAATTATATATATCTTAATCAAGTCAAATTGATGTAAAAAGAGACAAAGAATAAAGAGATACAGACCGATTGTTAGTGAATAGAATCATTTAATTTTACCACTTTAATATTTTCGATTCACCGATAAGTGTTTGATTTAAATATTTTAAATATGTTTTCATAATCATCATTCGGTTAGTATTGTCTTTAACAAATTATTCATCCTAAAAATAAAATAAAATTTATTGAGTGTGCGCGTCGCAATTCAAATTCCAATTGTTAACACATAATAATTGGAATTGGAATCAATTGACTGATAATCTCGGCCAAACAAACCAATTACTTATTGACCATTGTTAAGATGCGAATTGGTCAATTATAAAATGACGAAATATATACATACGAAACAGGTGTAAAATGAAATAGTATAAATAGTGCATATGACTAAAATGAAATTTTTTAACTTTACATATTTATTTGTTATAGAAATCTTTATTGTAATTTTATAAATAAAATAAATAAAATAAAAATTTTTTCTCGAATATCTCAAATACACAAACGGAAGAATGTGAAACGATAGAAAAAAAATTTGAAGAATCATTATTATTAATTTTCAAATGTGGTAACCATTGAAAGGAGAGGAAAGTTTCCTGGAGTGTAGGCTGCTTTTGGGGGAGATCATTGACGAGCAATAACGAAGTTTTTAGTTATCAATCTCCTTTATTTATTTATCTATTAGAAAAACGGTTTAATAATTAACCAAAAATTTATACCAACCGGTTTATAAAACAAAAAACTGCATTGAGATGATCGACATGCATAATTACGAATATCACTTGATTTATATACTTATTACGTATTAATGAAAGAGAATTAGATGTCCAACCACACGAGAGATACTACATTAGGCCTTCAACAATAAAAACAAGAATACAGACAGGAATAAGGACAAAAGATTATATATCGGCCGTATATCCATTTTCTTTGTAATAAAAGTTACACGAGTTTCAATGTCATTATAATAATAACAATTAATGATTTACTCAACATGTTACCAAAAATACCACAACATATATATATATATATATATATATATCAGATAATTATTTTGATTATATTTATTAAAATTAATAATTAGAGCTATATAGCACGAGCAATTTCAGTTGCTTATTTTTTGTTTTTTATTTTGACAGAGAGGTCATTCATTATCAAATTCTATATTTCATTGATTTCAAAATGTATTTCAGATGTTTTTTAACATATTAATATCTTCAGCTGTCAGTTTTTATTTCGACCTTTCAATTACATTTATTTAAATCAAGCCTTCCTCCAAGATTTTGCTTAATTTTTAAAACATAACATATATATATATATATATCCAGGTATTAATTTTGTATAATGGATTCTTTAGGTTATTACCATTTAGTAAAAGTAATTTATCTATTAATGATTAGATCTTTATAGCTAATTTATTTCCGGAAAACCCAAAAGATTTGTTGAAAATACCAAATTTTAATTTCCATCAACCAAACAACTCCTCGACCAGTCATTAATTTCGAAAAACATATATACATAAATATATACACACGTGTATATATATACCGTGCGCGTGCAACACACATACGTATATATTATATCACAAAAAAATTTTTTTAACAATAAATACACATACACAAACACATGCATACACGCACGCACACAGATATTCATTTTGTTTAGTAAACATCAACGTGGGAGACAATTTTAGATACTCATCATCGAAATCCGTCTGAATGAACGTGTAAACAAGTATCGTTGAAAGCCATTTGTGAATTAGCAACAAAAGCAACATCATCACTCACAACAACCACAGCAACATCGTCATCTAAAAAAATTTGATGTTATGTATACAATATATTCCTCTGAACAATAAGGATAATTGGCATTTTGCAGATCTATGCAAGGCATGTGCTACTTTGGTCATGGTAAAAAAAATTTATTAATTTTTTAATAACCAGAGAGCTATCAAGAATATTAATAGAAACATGTGGGAGATGTCATCCAAAAAAGAAAAAAGAATATATAGTAATTACTAAAAAAATTTTAAAATTTTCTTTGTTTGAATACTTAATTATAATAACATAAATATTTTTTTTTTAATATTAATATGCGCTTATATAAGTTTTTTTGCCTGCATTCGTTTTAGATGCATGTTGTTTTTTTATTTATTTATTTATTGCCCTTTTTTAATATAAACAAACAAATCAGTATCATGATATAATTAATACTAATAACAGTAACACCACATGGTTGGCCGTGATTTTATAAAGTGATCGACATTCAAGCAGATGTCATTGCGTACAATATGTCACAGGAAGCAACAAATTATTATTGTTTTTTACCACTATCTCTTTCTATAATAGTTCTGATTACGGTCGTTGGTGGTATGCAATTAGCGGTAAGGGAATAAATTTTTTTTTTCAAATTTTGAAGACTAAAAAAAAAAAAAGGTATTATAATTACAAGATTTTTTTTTAATCTATTTAATTATTTAATGATGATATTGGGCACGCTGCAACAGAACCAGACAAAGTGAATGATTCTATCATGGTCGATGAAATTACATATGACGAAATTCATATCTGATATTTATCACCAAGGACCTTTTGACGAAATTGATTCAGCCAATCAAATCAGATCTCTTTTCCAATTCCACTTGATGACTCTAATTCTCAGAATGAATAATTTTTGAATTTGACTTCCTTGTCATTCAAGCAATTTATTAAATTCTTCGGCCAGGCACATTGTATCATTATGTATTAAAATCATGTGATTGTCATATGATTTTTATACGTGATACAATATGAATAAGTTGAGGATGTTGAATATATATATTATACAGCATCACTAAGATTGTATTGTATAGATCTGCTTGTTTTTTAAATAATGATTAATATCTATGTGGGTTTCCAAATTGTCAAAGGCGAAAAATATTGACTATAATTATCATCTAATTGAATCGAAATTGTAATAAATTTATTTCAACAACAATAGTAATCAACAATTTTCAATCTACATTCTAATTAGTTTTGGCCAAAGAGTTTAGTTTATAATATATATATGTTGTATGTGAAATTGAAAATGCCATTGTTGTTTCTTGTGAAGACAATGATATAAATTGCTTTGGTTGAATCATTTATAATATTTCTCTCATAAATAAATACAAGGGACGGAAAATTAAATTGACAAGCAAATTAAAACTATTGATTGAATCAATTTATCCAAGATATGATTTATTATGTAAACCAATTTTACCTCTTTGGCTTTATGGTCATAGACCAATTAGAATTAATGATATTTTAAATGAATTACTTGAAACATTAAAATTAATAGAAAATTCCATTGATTGAATAAAAAAATTAAAAGAATAATGCAATTAAGACAAGGAATCTAAAAGATGGTGATGACCTTATGGATGATTATGGATGGTGACGATGATTTAGTGAATAGATCAATTGATTTATTAAAAAAGTTTTCAGATAGATTGGAAAAAAAATAATGAAAAAAGTAAAAAATTTAATTCAACAATCACATCACTATTTAACCAAGACAAATGTTTGTTTGAATAGAGATATATTATGCAATGTGTTGTATGTGAAATTCAAATTTAATTAAAATTTTGGGTGGGGTGTTTGGATACAAAATTCTGATTGACTAATTGAGTTTTATGCACGTGAATTTCAAAATTGACACAGTTTCAAATTCACACACAACACAACATCAATATAATAAACCACCAACTCTTGCTCTCGCTCTCTTCTCTTCTCTTTCTCCTTTTCTCCCTTTTTTTCTATCACCTCGCTCTCTCGCTCCCCTTTCTCACAACACTCTCATCTCCTCGCCCACTTGAGAAGATTACTTGAACATTTATTTGTGCATATTCGTTCTATCATTACTTTATTTAGAGCAGGATTGATGTAGAAAGTAAAATATATATTCAAGAGTGGAATTTTGTAAAGAATAATTTATTCATTTGCTTACTTTATTGAATAAGCTTTATAAAAGAATTAATCAGTTTATCGACCATTTATAGTCGAATCTCGTTATAACGAATGTAACCCAATTAATATTAAACACATACAGAATTCGTTATAACAAGATTTGACTATAGTCACTAATTTAATTTAATTGCCACCAAACCCGCCAATAAGAATTTAAAATATTCTGCAGTTGCAGATGATTTTGCGGAAAAATATATACATGATTATGCAGGTAACTTTTTAAAGTTTGACGCCAAATATTTACATGATTTACATTATTATCATTTGCCATTTTTTTGTTTTTAATCAAAAGCATAATGATTCAAATTACGTAACCTTTCTACAGAGGATTTCACTGCCAACTTTATAAAATCAGCTCCTAAATTATAATCATGTTCCATCATCCTCAAATAAGCAGCATGATCCATTTGCCATAAAATACAAGGAGTATTCGTTACCAAATTTGTTGGTCGTTGATTTTTAGTGAAAAATCCCAATTCACCTATCATAGTAAGTGGTAAGATTCTCTCCATTACAATTGGTTCGTTATTTTCTACCGAAATGTATGTGCTCAATTGTCCTTCCTCAACCACATATATACAATTTGGATCGTCACCTTGTGACCACAGTTGTGAGTCCCTTTGTACTTCCTCTTTTGTAAAATATGAAGCTATAAAATCAAAAAATTCCTCTTTTTCATTGGTAATTTCCTTAAATACTTTCATCAGAGTGTTTACAAGTTCGTTTTCGCTTTCAAGACAAAGTTCATCTAAAGAATGAAATGGATGGATGAAATTGATGGATGGATAATATGTGTAAATTATTAATATATATATACATATATATATATATATATATAACAATAATTGATTGATTTACTTACTTCCAAATACACTCCTTCCAGCATCTTCGAATTGATGATTGCAAGGAGACTCATCATTAACTAAAGATGGTATGGCCTGATGTTGTACTCCAACTTTGATTATATTAAAAAAATCTTTATTAACGATAATAATAAATAATAAATAATTTCTAAATTATTTTAACTCCTAATTACCAAGTCGATTATTACTGAATAACAGTCTGTGTTTAGCATAATAAGCTCCCAAAAGTGAATTTTCACACCATTCTAATGCATCATTAGATTTACCACAAAACTTTACATAATCATTTTGAGCATCCTTCCAAAATGATAACTTCGTAAACGGTATATAAACTTGCTGAGATTTATATGATATTCCACAGATTACAAGATATATTTTTCGATGTTGAAGATGTTTTTGAATGCTTTCAAGCACATGTACAGAATTAACATCGAGTCCAGTGACATGAAGCATATTTAAAATCAAGAATCTAATTGGTTTGGCTTTCTGTTCACGATCAATCAAAATCTTCTTTATAACGTTTTCAACTCCTTTCATTGATCCGTAAAACATATAGCCTTGTAACATCATTACATAGATTTGGCTACCAATTTTTTCGAGAAACTTTTGGTCTCGATAATGTCTCCTGACAGAAGATCTAACAGAATTCCCTGAAAATGTTGATCTAACTGCTCCCCTTTGATAATTCAATATCATGAAAGATATATAAGAGATTGCAATTCCTATAAATATTCCTTTAATGAACCCAATAAACGTCATTGCAACCATTGTGGCTATGACATTCAAACACTCCAACTTATTGAAAATTTTCCACGAGTCTACCAATGCCTCCCGTATCATCTCCATTCCCAAATAGAAAATCACTGTGCCTACAGTTATTGTAGGAATGTATTGAATGAATAATAATATTTGTCCAAAATATACTGTTATACCAATACAAAATGCAAGTATCAGCCCCACAACTCGATTATTCACTCTCGATTTAATCAATAAAACTGATTCTTCATGCTCCAATGAAGCTATGATGATTTATTAGTGGTATTAGCATCGGGTATTATATGATTTTCACAAATAAATAATTCTATTCTAACCTTGAAAAGGTCCAGCAATTAAATTAGAGACTCCTTGAACAATCAGTTCACGATCTGTGTTTAGTTGATGGTCATAAAGTGAAGCCTCCAATTTACTAATGTTTACATTAACACTTAGTATTGTAAAGTATGCAAGGGTGAGCATTATTGGAGTAGTTTTTATTATTGCCTCCCAACTAACGAATTCAAATTCTGTATAATCAATATATATGTATTGTTTATAAATTAATATATCATATTTACATATACAGCCGCTTCGTTGTAATGAGGTTATACTGTACTCATACTTACGGAAATCAGAGTAGAATTCAGACATTGTAATTTGATCGTCTAAATCAAATATCCATCCATTTTCAATCAAAGACTCTAAAGGAATGCTCAAATAATATATTACTAAATAGAAGCCCAAGAAAATTGACAGAAAACTCAAACTGATGATGGTTGGGACATGATTGCTTTGAACTTTGTATCTAATAAATCTAATAATGACCAAGAGACATAGTCCCCCCAAAAATGAGAAACCCCATGACAAAAAATTATTCTCATGTGAGAAAATTTTTTTTAATCCCTCGAGGTCAAAAGATTTTTCAGACAGTTGAATTGAAAAATTTATAGCGGTCTTTATCAAGTAACAGCCAATACCACCAAATGCCCCAATATAAATATGTCTCGGAAAAAATTCCAAAAAGAAATTATACTATAAATTTTTTTATTAGATATGCGATATATTCAATATACAATTATTATAAATATAAATATGTTATATACATACCTTGAATACCACAAATAATAAAAGTCCAATACCAGTTAATATGGTGGTTAGAGCATAAGCAAATATTGTTGTGTAAACTACCATTTTAAGTCGTTCCGGTTCCTCCTCATCAAGATTATCTTTAACCATTTTCTCTCTTTTTTAATTTTAAATAAAAAATCAAGAAAAAATTATTAAGTTTTTTATTATTTTTTCCTTTAAAATAGAAAAAGTTGTTGTTGAAAGATTTCTCACATAAAATGCAAAAATGGGATTACTATTATTATTTATAAAAAGATTATTTATTAAATTATGATATCATGAATAATTTTGATTAAAAAAAATAATACTTGCATTGTATTATCATTGTACTATTTCCACCTTGGAATTTACCACCAATCGAATTTATGACTTTTGAAATAATACAACTTTATTGATAATAATAAAGACGCAGATCATTAGCCTGTTAAATAAATAAGTAAATCAAAGCGAGAACTTACCTGGTAAAAAACATCACCATGCTAATATATTTATATCTTCCAAATTCATCCTCGTTATTGTGATGGTGATGCGTATGGGGAAATACCGCTATCCCTAATTTGTTTTTTAAAAAACTTCAATTTATTAAACGCGCGTACTCTACATGTTTGAAATTGTAGTCACGTGTCACTCATGTGTATTCTTTTAATATACTATTATTATTACCAAAGGATGTTCCATGTATGATATTTAAAAGGAAAAATATGCCAATATAATAATATAGCCATGGGTTTATAATAGTGCTTTTAAATTTTTTTATACTTGATGATAACATGTTACAATCACCACGAAATGGAAACCAGTAATCATTATCTTCCATCGCCGAGGTTGTCTTATTTCCATAATTGTTGCTGTGTCTAGATGAATTGCCTAACAATATCGAGTTTTCAGTTATCAAATCTTCATCTGCTATAACAGCGTTACTTGGTCCAGTCATTATATCATCTTGCTGCTGAACTGCTACCAAATAAGAATGATTTGATGACGACAGATGTTGTTGTTGGATCATTATAGTTAAGTTGCTCGTGTAATGATGATTGTTGTTGTCATTTTCTCGATTTACAGCTCCTGGATTGGTTTCTCCTAAATTTTATTTTAATTTTATTCATTATTATAGATATTTTAAATTAAAGATTCTTATCCTCGTTCGAGGAAAAATACGTACTGTTTTTTTTCTTGTTAAGACCCATGTTTATTAAAAAGAATTGAAATAACTAAACGTTTTTAGCATTCTAAAATTATTAAAAAACCATTCTTTTTATAAAGAAAGAAAACATATAAATATTGGAATTAATTAATATTGTTATTCCTGAATATAGTAATTGTAATGGTCCCGTATACGCCAGTTTCTTTAAATAATCGGATTCCGCCGAAAATTTTTAACAATATCTTATTGGCTATTTTTATTCGAAAAAAATTACAATAATCAACTATTTTCAAAAAAAAAAGGTCATTTGATTACACTATGCTATATATATACATTAATATTACAGAGAAGGTCTATTTTTGACATTTAAATTTACGCGTTAGCCAATTGCATTCAAAACGCCCGTCCCGCCTGATTTAATTATCAAAAGTAAATTATGCATTTTAATGTAAAAGAATTTTTGCGACATTATGCGCCAAAAATATCAATTATATATAATAAAAAAATATAAAAAGTCATTCCAATATATAATATGTAAAGAACCATTTCAAGTCAAGCGTTACAATGTGTGTATTTTTTTTTTTCTGCGCAAGGAGGGTTCCATTAAATCTCAAATGTTTCAAATATCTATTTTTGTGTGTTAGAAAATTAACAAAATCATTTTTACATATTTAAAACCAATAGGGTTCACTGATCGATTAGTTTGTTGTTTGTCAGTTTATCCAATTAAATATAAAAATTTACATTTAATAAAACAACCGCATTTGTTTACCTAATCAAATACAAAACAAGGTATATAGATGGATTGGTTGTGACATTATTGGCTTCAAGATACTTTACAAAAACAAAGACTCGTTTTCTTATACGCATCAGTATCAAACGGAAATAAAATCTTTTTTATTTCCCTTTTTAATATCTATTTAATATAATTATATATTCGTTTATCATAAAATCATAGTCTTAATATGTTTTATATACAAATTACCTAAAGTGTTGATTTCATTTGAAAACATAAATATTCCACAATATTTGGGCGTACTGCAACAAAACCAGACAAAGTGAACGTTGATGTTACCAAGAATTTCAGGGGTCAAAATTTAGTCATTTGTAATGTGATCATAATTAACAGCTTTATAATATCCCATTTGCTATTTTAAGTGATATATAGTACTACTCCTATATAAAATAGTTAATATGAAATTAATTTACATCAGATCTACTATGGAACCCAAGAATTATAGTACCATCAGAAGTATTTTGAAAAAAGAACAAGGTGAAAAAATTGCTCCTTATGTTTTCAAAATAAATGATACTAAGACACTGGAGGATTATCTAAGGAAAGAAAAGATTACTTATGAAATTTACCAAGAGAAAAGTAAGATTATAACTAATAAAAGAAATTTAACACAAAGTTTATGAAGAACCTAAAAAGAAAAGGAAGTTTTGAAGAAAAATAAACTTCTTAGTGTAATAAACATGTGTAATTAACACTACTTTGCTTAAATTTTTTCTTCTTGTCAAATATACAAAAACTCCTATTGCCACCCCTATTATTTCTCCTAATAATAAATAAGATAAATAATTGGTTGAGTCAGTTGAGGGTAATTGTTCTTGCTTTTGCTCAGTAACTATTTGGTTAAGTTCCAATTGAGATAAAGAGGTTTTACTAGTACTTTTTAAATAATTAAATATTTGTTGTAACCAACTTTATTATTATTATTATTATTATTATTATGGTATTCAACTACTAATTTATTATCACTCTTAAGAAAACAAAAAACTGTTCTAATTGTTCCAAATCAGAAAGAGAGAAAGGTTTTGGTTCTTCTTCCTCAAATTCATAAACATTATTATTTTCATTTTCTAACTGCTCTTTTTTTTTGCTTCTCTTTTTCTTTTTTTTTGTTCTAATTCAGTTAGTAAGTTAGTAACTTGTTCTTTAGTTTCTTCGCTTAGTAAGTCCTGGTCTAATGATTCTAATTCAGACATTAACTCATTAGAAGACATTTGATCTTGATTAGTTAAGAGGCCTTGAGCTTTCTGGTTTTCTTCCTCTTCCTCTTCCTCATCTGTGGTTTTTACTCTCCTAGGTTCTCTTTTTAAAGGATTTTCTACAAAATTCATATAACAAATGTTACATAAA